GCTGGTACCCGGCACAAACTGGGTCTGGGGTCCCCCATAAGCTCCATGAAGCTGGCGAGGAGCGCTCCCGGGGGCCGGCCGGGCTCCTTACAAATTGCAGCAATTAAAGGCCTGCTCTGGAGGAAAATCCCACTTTGCTTCTCTCTCTCGGGTCCTGGTTTGCGCCGTGATGAGAGGGTGGTGGTGGGGGGAATCTGCCCCCAGAGCCTTTTCCCACGTCCTTGCTTTTGGGGGGGAAACAGCTCAGCCCAGCCCAGCCCCAGAGCTCAAGGAAAGACGGCTACAAAGCAGCAACAGTCAGCGCACGAACAGAAAAATGAAAAGAAAGTACAGACACAGCATTTTAATGGGGAAACACCGACGGGGACAAATGGGGGGGGACACACGCCGCAGTCGCTGGGGCCGGACCCTCGCCTCTGCCTGGCTGAGCTCCGGGCCCCCCTCCTGCTGCAGCCGGCTTTATTTCGGACAGGCATCAGGAACCCAAGTATAAACAGAAACAAATCAGGTCTTGTTGGCTGTTTGCTTTTAATAGTGAGCAGGTGCAAAATGAAGACCGAAATGAATTAATTGGTGATGTAAACTCCAACCCAGCGGGTCGTGCCCCGCTCCCGGTGCTCTGCACGTGCCCCATGTTCGGCGGGTCCGGCCAAACCCTCGTGGTCGCAGCCGTGAGCTGCATCCAGTGCTCGCGCTCCCCTGGGCACAGGCATCGAATCGCTCTCCGGAGCGGGGCATGGCTCACCCAGGCCATTTCACTGACGGGGAAACTGAGGCACAAGGAGGTTAAGGCCAACACTTCCAAGCGTGAGATGCTTCAAGCCTTATTTTCAGTGGCACGGAGAAGCTGCAGATCCTGGTGAAGTTCAGGAGGGCCCTCCATGCTCCCCAGAGGGGAGGGAATACTGAGGCCAAAATGATTTGCTCGGGGATGCTCAGCAAGCCAAGAGCGGGGCAGGAGAGACCCCAGGCTGGGACCCAGACCCTGCAGGAGGGGCCTCTGCCCGGGAAAACTCACCATCGCCGCCAAACCAACAGGGTCCTCACAGCCAGCACAGAGCTTTTGAACACAGGCAGAAAACTTTTTCCCTTTTTGCTTTTTTTTTTTTTTTAACTTATGTGCAAATATTTAACGAGGGGCGAGGGAGGACGAGGCGTTGGGCTCCATCCCCGAGCCTGCCAGCAGCAGCGGCAGCAGGAGGTCGCTGGCAGCAGCACTGGCCGGGTGGACACTGAATTTTGGTATTTCTGGGGTCTGAAGCTCTCCCAAGCCACTGCTGGTCCCTCACCCCACCCATGACGGGGGCCACACACCCACTGCCCTGGCAGGGCTGCCTCCCTGGTGAGATATCACCGAGCACTGATGGAGCTTCAGCATGGCAGGTCCTCCAAAAATTAAAAGCCTTTCAGGGGAAAATGTCAGAGCAAATGAGGTTTGCCTTTGCCGGCGAATTATGTCAAACGTCGCGGGGTCCATCGTTTATCAGCGGAGGCGATTACAGCAGTGTCACATTCATTGGGAACATCGATTGGCACCGGGAAGAGGCCGGTCTGGCAGACGAGCGTTAAGAGAAGTCGGAGGCACTGCAAAGATCTACCCAAGAGAGTTGCATTTTGGCCACAAAGCATCAAGAAAAAGCCATTCCCATGGGAGGGAGCGAGGTGAACCCTCCAGGAGCCCCCAGCAATGAAACATGGGCACCCTCAGGGGCAGGAACCACAGAAGAGGCAGAAATATTGCACATGGACATGAGGTCGGTCTCCTTGGGGATGGGGAAGTTTTTTTATGGACATCAGAAAGTGCCACCAGCACACAGCCCCAAAACTGGGGAGTGGGGCTTCACAGCAAAGGACCAGCATCGCTTGGCTGGGGAGGATTCGGACCCCACTGGGGCATCATCTTGTCTCCTGCATCGTGGGACACCTGTGAGCACGTCCTCCAGGTCCAGATGTCACCTCCCACCACCGTGGGGACAGTCCCCTGGCTGGGCTTGGCAGCAGGAGCTTGCAGACAGTGGGGCAGAAAGATGCCACCACCATCAGCCGGGCCGGGGATGGAGAGGTGAGTCCCCAGGGTGGTGGGAGAGCAGCATCGGGGCTGCTGGGCCAGGAACAAACCACGTCGGAGGAGGGGTTTGCAGCCCGGCTGGCTTTAGGGGTCCCAGAGGCATCTTGCACTTTGCTCCCGAGGAGACGCAGATCTCTCCTTCCCCAGGGCAGGGGCCAAGGCGGATGGACGTGGAGCTGCGGCAGCATCCATGTAACGCTCGTCCTCCAGCGGAGATGCTGACTGGTGTCCCATGGTGTCTGTCCTGGTGGGGCTGAGCCCTGCTTGGGCACATCCCGGAGTGGTGGTGGGTGATGGAGCGGCCGCACGGGCACCGCTCACGGCTCGGGGGCCGTTTCCAAGCCCCACGTTCACTCCAGTCTCTCCAGGGGGGATTCCCCAGCCCTCCGCCTCCCCCAGGGCAGGCGCAAGCGGCTCCACTTTGGGGCCGTGCTCTCGGTTTACAGCAAAACCTCCCACGTCCTAAACGAGGAGCAAGGGGATAAGGAGACACCCCAAACTGGACGTCTCCCAGCCCGGCACCCCCGAGGCAGGAGCCACCGCATTGCCCCAGCCGGGATGGGGGGCTGGAGCGAGCCATCCCCATGGACATCCCATCTGCTTCCCCAGCCCCGCTGGCACTTGGGCTGATTCACTCCCTGGGGTGCAAGGAGACCTTCCCACCATTTGCAAAACTTTTCTGTTGAAGAAATCCGCCTGAAAGCTCAACCCAGCTCTCAGCCCCATTAATACTTTTTCATGCAGTGAGAAAATGAAAAAAAAAAAAGAAAATGAGGACATTCTGGTGCCCAGCGGTTTCCTCGCTCTGCCTCGGACTGCTCGGAGCCTGGGCTGAGCAAGCCCCAGCTGAGCTGGCAAAGGGAAGGGTGAACAGAAAAAGGCAGGGAATGGGGAAACGGGAAGAGGGAAAGAAGCTACAGCATCCCCTTAAAACAGCAGCCAGCCCACGGAGCTCGGGGTATGGGGGGTGGGAGGAGAGAGGGGAAGGCAGATTTTTGGCTTCATCGTTATTGCAGGCTCCCGGTGCCCCGCAATAGTGTACGAGCATGTAAACCTTACATATCATCACCTGGGTGGTCAGACACACACACGAGAGACTAAACACGGCAGCAACATTTACAACAAATAAATAAGGATATCGATCATCGAGATAGGCATATAAAAAAAAAGCCTCACTTTTTTCCACCAAAGGAAAAAAAAGAAAAAAAAAACCAAAAAGCACAATACTGTCTCACAAAAAAAAAAAAAAAAAACAAAAAACTGTCTCCCCAAAAAAAAAAAAAAAAATAATATATATCCCTAGTGAGCCGGGCCGGGCTGCCAGCGGCATCGCAGGTGACACCAGGACTTTGTTCCCAATCGCCATCGGTGCCTCGGCTCCCCGGCCGCCCCGCGCAGGCAGCACCCCGGGGTGCGTGGCCCCCCAGTACCTTTGGGCCTTGTCTCCAGCCGGCCGGTTCCCGGGAGAGGACCACACCGGTGCCGGCGCATCCGCAGTCCCATCCGAAAATGTAGGAAAGGGGAGCAAAGAGGGCGAGGAGGCCGGGGCAGGGCTCTGCCAGGCAGCACCCCGGGGTGCATGGCCCCCCAGTACCTTTGGGCCTTGTCTCCAGCCGGCCGGTTCCCGGGAGAGGACCACACCGGTGCCGGCGCATCCGCAGTCCCATCCGAAAATGTAGGAAAGGGGAGCAAAGAGGGCGAGGAGGCCGGGGCAGGGCTCTGCCTTCGGCGATGCTCAGCCCGTTCCCCCGGTCCTGAAGTCTCAGGCGTTCGCTGCCGCTCAGACCGGGGTCTGTTGCGGGTGGTTTGTTTTTGGAAAAAGCAGAAGTTGGCAAATGGCAGCGGCTGGTTCAGAGTGCAGAGAGGGGGAGTGAGCTCGCGCTTCGAGGGCATCCTTTGCTCGCAGAACAGAAAGGAAGGCCAAGAGGGACAGGCAAGCTTCGCGCGGCGGTGGTCGGATGGCACGGAGAGCATCTTCCCCCAGGCATCTGCAGGAGAGGGGGGAAGAAGGAAAATCGGGTGAGAAGGATGGGCAGAAAGCCCTGCAGCCACCTCACGCAACACCAGCGCCGCTGGAAGTGCAAAGCTGGAAACACAATAAAGATTTTGAAAAGCTCCAAACTCCAGCGGGGTTAAAAAAATAAAAAACCCACCACCCACGGTCGGACACTGCCTGGACTGCGATGGCCAAAATCATCCCAAGAGACATCTCTGCCTGGCCCCGCGGGGCATGGTGAGGAGCATGGGGTGCTCAGCCCAGCACCCCCGGGATGCTGCGAACCACAGCATCCCTAATCCCGCCGTGCCAAACTCTGCCAGCTCCAGGATGTAATCCAATAAGATATAATATAAATAAAACAGTTAATATAATATCTCTCCGGAGCATCCCCATGCCTCCAGCATGCCAGCTGCCTCCCTGCCTCCTTTGCAGATGCATGTGCGGGCGAGAGCACGACTTGTGCCACAGGCAAACGCCTGCCAGCTCGGTGGCTTCTACTGCATCCCTGTGAGCTGCAGTCCTGGGGTGCTCGGGAGGACTGGGAGGGACTGGGAGGAACACATCGGTGTGGGGGCAATACCCACCCTGAGCTGGATTTGGGGGGTATGCCCATGCTTTGATGCTTCAGCAGATGGGAACCAGCCACCCGCCCCTGGGGAAGGTGGGTGGGAGATGGGGCCCCCCCGCTGCACTCACCGCCGCTCGGCCCCGGGACTATACGAGCCCGTCATAGAGGGAGAGCGCCTGCACGATGGAGGGGTCGGCCTTGGAGCCCTCCTGAAATTCCTGCAGCGTCAGCTTCCCGTCCGCATTCTGCAAAACACTCCTGTCGCAGCGCTGCTTCGCCCCAGTGACAGGGACGCCGAGCACCCCGGGACCGAGCACCCCGGGACCGAGCACCCTGGGGCCCCAGCAGCACCCACACCACCCTGCACAGCTGCCCCGGTCCCCCCACCACTGCAGCCTCTGTTTCCCCACCAAACCACCCACACGTGCAGCCAGGGAGGAATGCCACGGAGGGTGCAATGCCACCTCGGGGGCCCTGAAATGGGTACGGGGATCCCAGAAGGATGGGGGCGTCTGCAGCGAGCCCAGCGGCGGCTGAAACCTCGTGTTCACAGGGGAAGGAGGTGCCTCCAAGAGCCAAGATGCAGCAAGGGGGCCCACAACTGCCTCCCAAATCCCTTGGCCCTGGGGAAAAAACCCACTCGAGCATCCTCACCTTGTCCATCATGGCGAAAATCCGATCCACCCTCTTCTCTGGCGTGTTCTCCTCCTCAGGAAGCTCCACCGTGTTTCCCTGCGGTGGTGGGACAGGACCCGGGACCCAGTCAGGCACCCTGCCTGGACGGTGTCCCCAGGCGAGGAGGGACTCAAGGGTGTTTCAGCATCCTCTCCACAGCACCGCTGCCCGCAGAGCTGGGCTCCAGCCCAGTGGGGACCCCCAGGGGCTGCTCGCCCTGTGCCCCCCCACCCCCGCCGCTTACCACCATCTGATAAATAGCATCCACAATGTCCAGCATCTCGTTCCTTGTGATGTACCCGTCGTTGTCCAAGTCATAGAGCTTGAACGCCCCTGCAAGACAGACCAACACCGAGGTGCTGGGGACTATGCCCCACCCCCGTCCCTGCCGGACACACACCCCATCGCCACCCCCTGCGCCACCCCCGGCCCCCTCGCGGGGCCGACCCC